CAAAAAAAAAAACCCTACCCCGCTTTTTCAATTTCGAACGGTGAACATAAACAGAAGATTTATTGCAATTTTTTACGTAATTGAAATTAACGGAAGGGCAAATTGCAATTTGCGTAATCGGATTTAGCTGATGCATAAATTGCATTTGAGCAATAATAAAATGTAGTAGTTTAGGAACTTAGTTATTCGGATTATTAACTAATTTACTAAATTTAGTAATTTACTTGATCGAATTTAATGCATGGCTAAATTTGCAATGTGTACGTACTTGAATAATTTAGCACATGGGTAAAGTGGAACGATTTTTTTTTTTTTTTTTTTTTTTTTTGGTTGGGTTGAAACATCATCGAGGGGTTAGCCTGTGATCTAAGGTGATGGTAAACGATAGGCATCATGGCCGTCTACGTAGAACAGTGCAGTTGAGTCTGTTGCGCTTTGGATCGCATTGAAGGAGAAATTGCATGCAAGTCTGTCATACAAAGAATGCATGGAAATGTGTCAACGGTGTGAAAGCCTGAAGGAGGCTGTTACCTTTGAGGCTGTCACCGTCTTCAGCCGAATAGAACGCCCGGTAATTGCCTCTGTATCTGGACGGAAAGTTGGGGCAAATACAGTCATAATGACCGGGCGTTGTATTCGGGTGAAGACGGTAGTCTGGCGGTTTCTGACGCAGAAGCCAAGAACAGATGCGCAGTTTTTTGACGGTGAAGAAATATTATTTCACGTTTGAAGGTTGATAGACCCCTGTGTTTAATGAAACCATTTGAGGGCTGTGGTCTTCGATTTGAGGGCTCTACACACACACACCTACCGGGAGGGCTCTGCACGCAGCTACGGGGAGGGCTCTGCACACACCTGACCAGCCAGTCAGACCAGATTCATAACAGGAATGTTGTTAGAAATCGTGTTCTTGTTGATAGCTAGATCGCAGTTGAAAAGAAACTCTCATATATGTTGTTGAGTGCTCTGCATAAACTGACATCTGCATAAACTGACATCTGCATAAACTGACATCTGCATAAACTGACATCTGCAAGCTTCCAGATCACATCATCTCATGGCAGTCTCGACGGCCATGGCTACGTAGCTCCAACCTTTGGTTAAGGGGGTCTGAGTGGACCCCCCCCCGCTTCCCCCCCCCTCCCCTCCCTGAATAAGGGGGTCATGTAGAAGCTTCAAGAGAACAGCAGATATGGCCGTTCTGACTGCCAGAGCGGCGTAGCAGCCCCAACCTTTGGTGGTTGAGGGGATCTGTGGTGGGAGATGCGGGGTCTAAAAATAATGGACTTTTCGCAGTTTTCTATCCATTTGATTGAGTCGAGGGCAGAGTTCCGCCTATCGCGGTCCCACCAGTCCCATGTCCGTCAGTACTCTATGGCATTGGTACTTCAGATGTCCACTCTACAGCCTTCCCCCGAATACAACGTACGGTCATTATAGCTGTATTTATTAGACTGAAAGATACCCCAAATTCAGCCATAATGACCGTGCGTTGTATGGGGAAGACTGTAGTCCATTTGATTGAGTCGAGGGCAGAGTCCCGAAAATAATGCTACTTCAGATGTCCACTGGTTTCCTCCTGATTCGTTCATCCTCAGCAAAAGAGCACAGCACATATTTGAGATTACTGAGCTCACCCGGTCATATTTGAGATTACTGAGTATGCCCTGAGTGAAAAAAAAGAAACAAGAGAAAGAATGAATGCGTCCAATCCGATCTGATCCAATCCAATCCGATCTGATCCGATCCGATCTGATCCGATCCGATACGATCCAATCCAATTAAGCAAAGAAGATATCGAATTTCATCAAGGTGAAGACGATGAGCTTGCCGACTTTTCCTATCAGGGCATACTCAGAGTAGCACTTTTCCTGACCGAAATTACGGCCGGACCTGGATGCATCTGGCCGCAATCACGTCCAGAGCTGAGTTGAGGAAATCCTAATGTGAGTATGGCCTAAGTCTGATCGATCAAACAGATGATGATGATGATGATGATGATGATGATGATGATGATGATGACGATGATGATGACGACCACGTGATTGGAGTTATACCTGTTGGAGTTATTACTAATTTATGTTCTGTACCTATCAATCCATTAAATAATGTGCAGGGCTGTAAAAAAAAAACAAAAAAAAAAACAAAGCGTGTGCACCGTACCCTGGCCTAGCTTAACCCCTTTGCGCATTTCACTGATTGATTCATGGGCGGCTTTATGGATTGATATGCGGATAGATTGATGGGTATCCCGATGGATGGATGGGTATCCCAATGGATGCATGAATGGATATCCCGATGGATGGATGGATGGATATCCCGGTGGATGGATGGGTGGATGGATGGGTGGATGGATGGGTGGATGGATATCCCGGTGGATGGATGGGTGGATGGATGGGTGGATGGATGGATGGATGGATGGGTGGATGGATGGATGGATGGGTATCCCGATGGATGGATGGATATGTATCCCGATGGATGGATGGATGGGTATCCCGATGGATGGATGAATGGATATCCCGATGTATGAATGGATGGATATCCCGATGTATGGATGGATGGATATCCCGGTGGATGGATGGATGGATGGATGGATGGATGGTATCCCGATGGATGGATGGTATCCCGATGGATGGATGGATGGATGGATGGAGGAATTGTAGGTGTCGGATTGGGGATCCAATGAACCAACGGGAAAAGGGCTGGCCTTCTTCACTACCATCTTCACCTAAATAGAATGCCCGTCATTATAGCTGTGTTTGGGGCAACTTTCAGTCTAGATGCAGTCATGCGCTCTATTCGGATGGAGACGGTAGCATCGTTGGATTTGTGGTGTTGGAATTACTTGGCCGTACGGTAGGGGGGGGGGGAAAGATATGGCTCAGTGGGCGTGTATAGAGATGCATGCGCGGGCGGCTGAGGTGGAGGTTGGATGGGTGCATTGCGTGTTTTGCATTGACTAAGCTGATTTTTTTCCTTTTTTGTCTGTATTTCTGAATAAGCGTTTTTTTTTTTTTTTTTGGCGTATTTGTCATCAGTTTTGACTTTTTGTTTTTTGGGGCATCTAAAACCGAAATGTGTATTTTTCAATTTTCGTTTATTTCATAAATTGTTGGAAGATTGTATGCGTACATAATAAACATGCAAAAAAAAAAACAAAAAAAAAAACAAACCCGGCTAGTGCACAATCAATTCATTCACTGTTTTTCAAATCTGTGATTGGTTTGTGCCCGTTGATTGATTGAGCTGCAATCTGATTTCGTGGTCGTGGCAGGTGTCTGCACACACGTCAGCAGGAAAGACAGTTGTGGCCGAGTACGCCATTGCAATGTCGCTGCGAAACAATCAAAGGGTGGTATACACGTCACCAATCAAGGCGCTGAGCAACCAGAAGTACAGAGAAATGTGTTCCGAGTTTATGGATGTGGGGTTAATGACAGGAGATGTCACAATATCACCAGAAGCTTCTTGTTTGGTGGGCTTGATCCTCCCTCTCCTCTCTCTCTCTCTCCTCTCTCTTATCCCTCCTGTTCTCTCCTCTCCTGTCTCCTCTCTCCTCTCCCCTTTCTCTCCTCTCCTGCCTGTTCTCTCTTCTGTCTCTTCTGTCTCAATTGCCTCTGCTGTGTCTCTTCTCTCCCGTCTCCTCTCTCCTCTGTCCTCTCTCCTCTCCTCTCCTCTCGCCTCTCTCCTCTCGCCTCTCTCCTCTCGCCTCTCTCCTCTCTCCTCTCGCCTCTCTCCTCTCGCCTCTCTCCTCTCGCCTCTCTCCTCTTGCCTCTCTCTTCTCTTCTCTCTTCTCTTGCCTCTCCGCTGCCCCCTCTCCTGTCTCTTCTCCTCTCTCCCTCTCATCCCTCCTGTCCTGTCCTGTCCTGTCCTGTCCTCTCCTCTCTTCTTTCTCCTCTCCTTTCTCCTCTCCTTTCTCCTCTCCTTTCTCCTCTCCTCTCCTTTCTCTTCTCTCCTCTCCTCTCTCCTCTCTCCTCTCCTCTCTTCTCTCCTCTCCCTCATTTCCCTGATCTCTAGCTTCTCCTCTCTCCTCTTGCCTTTCCTTTCCTCTCTCCTCTCCTCTCTCTCCCCTTCCTCCTGTCCTGTCCTGTTCTCTCTCCTCTCTCCTCTTCTCTCCCTCATCTCTATCCTCTCTGGCTTCTCCCTTCTTTCTCCCTCTCCTCTCTCTGTTCTCTCTTCTTTCTCCTCTTTCTTCCGTCTTCACACATCGTCATTGTTGTTGCACTCCTCTGTCTCCTCTTGGTCCTCTTCCTTCCCTCGTCCTTGTCCCTCCCCTCCTCCCCTCCCCGTTTCCGTGAAAAAGCCAGAGAAGAACTGTTGGGTTTCGTTTATGTATGCAGGCCTCGTCCTCTACTTTTTTGTTTTTGTTTTTTTGTTTTTTTTTGTTCTCGTTTCAGTTGATGGTCCAAAGGATGTAGCCTCGGCATTGTTATTGCTTATCTAAACAGCATTTGAGCTGTTGCCCCTGTTCACCAATAGTTGTAGGTGCGTAGCATTCAACTCCAAGCCAAGCCAGGTTCTACGCAGGCCTCTGTATGAGATGGAGTCAAAACGCATAAAGAAATGCAGTCCAAATGCAGTCCAAATGCAGTCAAAATGCAGTCAAAATGCAGTCAAAATGCAGTCAAAATGCAGAAAAAAATGCAGAAAGAAATGCAGTCAACGCTATCAAAATGCCATAAAAAAAGAGCCGTCAATAGTGTCAAAATGTCGTCGAAATGAATTTGAAATGTGCCCCATCGAAATTCAGTCAAAATGAAGTCGGTACGTAGTGAGAACGCTGTCAACGTTAACGTTGAGCACTGTGTCACTTCGTGATGAAAACACGAAACAAATTTCCTACCCTCTGTTGTTGGGCATACAGAGTTGATTTCAGCAGAGTTTTCTGTAGGCCGTCTAGATGAGTCTGTGGCAGGCATTCAGTCCAGACGACAAACTTGTCAAAGGGAAATAGCACTTCTTCTTCGTGTCACGAGTCGACAAACTTGTCAAAGGGAAATAGCATTTCTGTCTCTTCGTCTTTATGACGATACATATATATCGTCTTCGAGAACTGCCCGCTGAACTGTGCAGGCTCGGAGAGAGAAAAGGACAACCGACGACGGACACTGGCGGATTGTGTTTCATTGGAATTTCACCGATTCATCAGGAGGCTGAACCCTACGGAGTCACGGACATATGAAACTTCTTTTTATTTTTATTTTTATTTTTTAACTACTAAAGGTTAATGTTCGAGAACGTAATAAATTACAATTGACTGAATGGTATCAACTTAGGAGTATGTCTTTTTTTTTTTTTTTTCTGAAACTACCAAATGTAAATGTTCGAGAGCATAACAAATTATAATCTGCTGAATGGGATCAGGTGTATGTTTTGGTGTATGGCGATATTGATATACACATTTCTTCGCCTTTTTTTGGGGGGAACTTTTTGACAGAGAGAATGTATTTCGTCGATATGGGACGCCAACCGAAGACAGTCTGTGCAAATCAAAGCTTATATGGTGGATTCTTAAAAAATAAATGTTTTCTCCTTTTTGTTTCTGTTTCTGTTTCTGTTTTTGTTTCTGTTTTTGTTTCTGTTTCTGTTTTTGTTTTTGTTTTTGTTTTTTTGTTTTTTATTGTTTTTGTTTTTGTTTTGCAGGTAATGACAACAGAGATTTTACGGAGCATGCTGTATAACGGGTCTGCACTGTTAAGGGAAATTGCCTGGATCATATTTGACGAAGTGCACTATCTACGTGATAAGGAACGGGGAGTTGTGTGGGAGGAGAGTATTGTCATGGCTCCCAAGAATGCGCGATTTGTCTTTCTGTCTGCTACAGTTCCAAATGCTCGCGAGTTTGCCGAGTGGGTTGCAAAGGCAAGTGCAATAAATAAATAAATAAAAAATAGTTCTTTCAACCACCAACCTCCCCCAGGTTTTCAGATTTTTGCCAGTCCCATGCCGTCACCTCGGCACCCCGCCTCCTCGTCCGAATGGTCCTGATTCTGCTCTTCCTTCATTCACCCTTTTCCTGCTTCTTCGTGTGCATTTGGGTCCCTCTCTGGGTCATCATAGTGATGTCCCAGGTTGACTTACTCCACCCTGTCTTACATGATCATGCCTTACCAGTAGTCAGCCATGTGCAACAGGGTGTAGCTAACCAGGTACAGTGTGGAGTTAACCAGGAACATGGTCACGCCCTAGTCAGCCAACTCCACCCTGTCACACATGGTTCTCCACACTGTACCACATGGTTAACTCCACACTGTCCCACATGGTTAACTCCACACTGTCCCACATGGTTAACTCCACACTGTCCCACATGGTTAACTCCATGCTGACACATAGTTAAC